TCACAATGAGGGACCTGGAGCCTGGGCGCAAGTACAAGATGCACCTGTATGGCCTGCATGAGGGGCAGCGTGTGGGCCCCGTGTCCACTGTGGGCATGACAGGTGAGTGGGAGACAGGCCCTTACCGCTTTATCTCTTTGCTCTTTTGTGTTTCTCCTTTGGACTTTAGTACCTCTTACAACTGAGTTCTAGGTTCCAGTGTTTTCTGAAATGTTGCTAATGATCCTACCTGGATTTACATTGAGCGAGAATTAATGGAGAGACTGTGTAGTCTATGCCCTGGTCATGATCTAGAACCTGAAATTGTAGATGTATCACATTCTGAGCCTCTCTACTGTGTATTTTGGTGACTCAGAATGTGATCCAGGACCAGGCTTTGGGGATCTGACTCTGCCTTCAAAGTAATTGATTTTGCAAGCATCTCTTAATCTCTCTGTGCTTCAGATCCCTGCAAAATAGGGGTGATAATATTCACAACTCCTACTTCACGTGCGGCTGCAAGCTGCTCTCAGCAATGTCAGCACATACTGTAAGAACTTGAGAAGAGGAGCAGCGTCTGTTCCACGGTCCGGGGAAGGCGCCCCCTCTCTGGGGAAGCTCCTGCCTCCTGACCCTTTGGTCTCCCCTGCTCTTTTCCAGCCTCCCTGCCCACACAGCCCCCTATGGAGCCCCGCTTGGGGGAGGTGGCTGTGGCGGCTGTGACCTCGGACACCGTGGGCCTGTCGTGGACTGTGGCCCAGGGCCCCTTCGACTCCTTCCTGGTGCAGTACAGGGATGCGCAGGGGCAGCCGCAGTCAGTGCCCGTGAGCGGAGACCTCCGTGAGGTCACGGTCTCCGGGCTGGACCCGGCCCGCAAGTACAAGTTCCTGCTTTTTGGGCTCCAACAAGGGAAACGCCACGGCCCCGCCGCCGTGGAGGCCAAGACCGGTGAGGGCAGACCCCGGAGCCTCCAGGCCAGCCTGCCCCCTTGTGGCGACGGTTGGAATTTCATGTTTCTGTGTCCCACACTCCCATCTGGGAACCAATGAAACCCCCTCTCTCAGCTCCCTTTCCCCCTCACTCCTGTCCTTCTCCCTACCCTCCCTACACCCAGGGGACTCTTGCTTTCTTGACTCGCTTCTCTTTCATTCCTACTCCTGGCCCGCTCACCCCTTCCTGCTCCCAGGACAAGTTCAAAGAACCACACACCCCAGGAAGCTCAGGCCTCCCTCTGTTTCCATCACCATCTCTCACCCACCATGCACCTGGCTCTCTTTTCCAGCCCCAGACAAGAAACCCTCTCCCCACCTGGGGGAACTAACAGTGATGGACGTGACCCCTGACTCAGTGAGCCTCTCCTGGACGGTCCCTGAGGGTGAATTTGACTCCTTCGTGGTCCAGTACAAGGACAGAGATGGGCAGCCCCAGGTGGTGCCAGTAGCTGCAGACCAACGAGAGGTCACCATCCCTGGCCTGGAACCCAATAGGAAATACAAGTTCCTGCTCTATGGTCTGGCAGGCAGGAAGCGACTCGGCCCCGCCTCTACTGAGGGCACCACAGGTGAGCTCTGGCACTGCCTCCCACCTTTTCCAGATCTCTCTTACCGGAGCCCCCAAAGCTGCCCCTTTGGCCTTCCCATGAGACTGATCCTGTCCACAGCCTTGGCACAACTAGCATAGCACCAAGAGGGAGTCCCTGCTGTGTGCCAGGCACAGTTCCAAGCATTTATACACGTATGCATTATTTCTTTCATCCACTGACTGCTGATGAAGTAAAAAGAACCCAGGCTCTGGGCCAAGCAGACCTTTATTCAAATCCCAGTGCCATCCCTTGCCAGCTGTGTGACCATGGACAAGCCTCTTCATTCCCCTGACTCCAGGCCTCCTCACCTGCATAATGGTTATGAATATTGCCCACTGGCGAGCAGTGGTTGTTCCCACCCTCCTCCCTCCAGTCCAACTGTGGAGCAAGAGGTGGAACATAAGGGAGGGCTTGGCTGAAGAAAGACGATGGAAAAGCCTGGTGGTGATATGCCCGTGACTCAGTCCCCCGAGGAAGGGGTGTGGTAGGTCACTGACCTTACTGCACTCCCAGGACCATGAGTCACCCTGACTAGAGGAGGACAGAGCAGCCGGCCATTCAGACCCAAACTCTTACCCAGGGGAGAGGGGACAGGCTCCTCCTCCAGCCCCCCATCTGCCAGCACCTGCCCTACCTGCACAGGCCATGTTCTGTGCTGTCTCTTTTCTCTCAGCTCTGCCCAGGCTTCTACCACCCCAGTGCCATCTGATAGTGTCATTGTGGGGTTGAGAGAGCAGTGGCAAAGGCCACCCAGGCTGATGGCCATGAGGGGAAGTGCACAGGCTGGGGGTGCACTGTTTGGGGGTGTCTCCCTGACAACCCAGATGCCTCCTGGGAATCTCTCTGCTGTGGCCACATCCTTGCTCGGGGGGTGGGGGTCAGAAGAAGCTAAGCTCCTCCCTGCACCCCTGCCACCCCTCTCTCAGCTACCTCTGGACATGATCCTTTATATATTAATACACCCTTGATCTCAGCAGGGGGCAAGGGGCAGGAAGCTTGGGCAGTGGTCTCCAGAGAAGATGGCGCTGCCCCCTCCTTCCTATAGGGCAGGACTAGAGAGGCCTTGTCTCCTCAAGAGATTGTCCCTGAGCCCATACTTCAGGGACCCTTTCCCAGACCCTCGCTCCTCCTAGAAGTTGCCAGGGTGAGGCTGGGTACAGTGACTCATGCCTGTAATCATCTAGGCACATGGATTGCCTAAGCTCAGGAGTTTAAGATTAGCCTGAGCAAGAGAGAGACCCCCATGTCTAAAAATAGCTGCCTGTTGTGACAGGCACCTGTAGCCCCAACTACTTGGGAGGCTGAAGCAAGAGAATGACTTGAACACAAGAGTTTGAGGTTGCTGTAAGCTGTGACGCCACAGCACTCCACCAAGGATGACAAGTCTCAGAAAAAAAAGAAGTTGCCAGGGCTGAGATAAAGGCAGCCCTTGACCAAGAGTTTTCCCCCTACCCTCTCCACAGCTCCCCTGGAGAAGGATCCGCAGCCCCCTCCCCGCCTGGGAGAGCTGACAGTGGCTGAGGAGACCTCAGACTCCCTGCGCTTGTCATGGACAGTGGCCCAAGGCCCCTTCGACTCCTTTGTGGTCCAATACAGGGACACTAATGGGCAGCCCCAGTCGGTGCCTGTGGCCACAGACCAGCGTGAGGTCACCATAGAGGACTTGGAGCCTGGCAGGAAATACAAGTTTCTGCTCTATGGGCTCCTCAGAGGGAAGCGCCTGGGCCCCATCTCTGTCCTGGGAATGACAGGTGAGGCTGTCATGCTCAGCCCTAACAAGCTGGCCTGAGTAGGTTTCCTTGTGCCTTTGTACTAAAGACAAAAGGACTGGCAGGAGTGGGCAGGTGGGGAAGGGAGCCCTGGCCAGGGCACAGGAGGCAGGAAGAGGTTGAAGCCATATCAGCTCTGGTTGGTCAAGGATTCAAGAGCAGGGGTCAGCCCAGGCAGGAAGGAGAGGCCCTGGAAATATCCTAATCTCCCAGCTTCTACTCTGTCCCATGCCTGACAGCTGCCCCTGTCACTCTCTGGGGTGGCTGTAACCTCCAAGCAGGGTGGCCTTGCCCAAACAGGGGCAAAGCCCTCTGTCATGGATGAGCTAGGAGCATTTTTTCCAGCGGAAAATCACTGGAAAATACAATGGGTGGGGACACAGAAACCAGTAGAAGTGGCTGCATTTATGGTACAGGCTCCTCTTCTGGAGGTGGCCAACACCCACTTCAGACCAGCCTGACCAGGGCACGTGCATCCAACTCAGCTGGTGTGACTTGCCTGTCACAAGGCAAGGGTGTTCACTGAGCACTTCCACCCTCAGCTTTTTCCAGTAGGGAGTACCACGTGCCCCAAGCTCAGTGAATGGGTTCCAAGCAGCAGGACAGGGGCAGAGCCTGTGCTGACATCTAGAGGTAGGGATCCCTGAGACACTGGGTGCAGGAGGGGAAAACAAGTGCCTGATCAGACATAGCACAGGAGTCCATGACAGAGCAATGAAGCAGCTTCCCGAGTAGGAGACCGGCCACAGTGTTGGGGCTCAGAGACCCTGGGGGTGGTAGGAGTCAATGCCAAGATTCAGGAGATGGACAAATACTTAGGAGACCCTGGCTCGGCACCTATAGCTCAACCGGCTAAGGTGCCAGCCACGTACACCTAAGGTGGCGGGTTCGAATCCCCAGCCCGGACCCGCCAAACAACAAT